TCTCATTAAATCTTGTACTTCAATTATGGATTCATCTATTTCTATGCTTCCAAACATGTATAGCTAAATAAATTTGGGGCTAGAAATTGGTTAATTAATTGTTCTTATCATGTTTTAATTTGTATTGATTTTAATTGTTAAGTTTGTTCTATTTAGATTGTTGTGTCCAGAAAATTAATTAAGTTATGTTTGTGATATATATTATGAGTACTCAATCATAAACATATTGTTTGTTAAATACACAAATGAACACTTTCTGAACACACCGTTAAACTTCTTTTACCTTGTCCCGGATTGAAGTTTTACGGGGGAATTTAATTATTTAATTATATTATTCACACCACGGGGTTGGGTAAATAATATAGTTAATAATTAAGGTTGTCGTTGCACTTAAACAACTAGTCTCGTTTTGGCCATCACTGGGAAATGTTGACTAGTTACTTATTTTAGATGACTTGTGTTGGGTCCTAAAATATTTATCTACAACTTCTCACAATCTATCTAAGAATAAAATTAGCAATTATGTCTCTCAATTAAACATTGAACAATTAGTTACCAATTTCTACCCCTACTTGCTATTGGTTGAACTTTGTGTTGATAAAAATCTCTCATCTCAATCACTTTTATTTTATTACTTTTCCAAGCAACCAAAAAAATCAAAAGAAACGCACTCCCAACTTTAATCCTTAGTTTGTGCTTAATTATTTTATTTCCCGCTTCTCTGTGGTTCGACACCCTACTTCCTTGGGTAAAAAATAGTTGTGTGCCCATTATATGCTACACACCAACCGGCAAAGCCGAGGTTGCCGGAAAGGTCACTTCCACGGACCTTTTCTGTCTTTACTGCATGGTCCACAACAGGAAGCCCCACATGGGCTATTTCCTTGCCAGGCACCTCCACCGTCAGGCCACGAACCATATTAAGGCTGTATATGCAGGCCCGTTCATCACACGCCTACTGACCGGGATGGGTTTTGGAGACCGGTTCGAGAGGATGGAGGAGAGTTCGAGCTTCCTCCCAATGACCAGATTTCCTGCGGTCAACACTGGAGTGGCGAGGAGGAGGGCACAGGCGCAGCCAGCAGCAGCAGGGGGAGGACACCGGGCAGATGATGATGATGATGAGCATGACGATGAGGAGAGCGATGAGGAGATGGAGGAAGCTGCACACGACGTTTCTTTTGATGCACCCCCCTACGGCAGCACTTTTCCCGATTCTTGGGCAGGGATGCATGCGCATCAGGACGCCGTGTATCATCAGCTGTCTACTGAGCAGCACACGCGTTTTGACCAGATGCGCTTTGAGCAGCAGGACTTTTATCGCGAGATGCGGGAGGATCAGGCGATGCATTATGCACAGCTCCAGTCCCAGTACACACAGATTGATGAGGGACTCACTTCTCTGGAGTCTAGCTGGAGCTCATTCTTTGACGCATATCCCCCTCTCCTGAGTATTAGATCTGATTAGATTGTCCTCCGTTAGCCTCTGTTTTCTGATTATTGTTGGATGACTGTACCCCTATATTCACTCTCACACTCACTCACTATTAACTCTTTTCTCTTTCTCTTTTTTGCTTGGATTCTGTGTTTTGATTGATGTTTGCAGCCTACGAGTCCGTTGGATGAATTGCCAAGTTCTATGACACAGTTGATTCTACACCGACCAGCGTCATAGGGAAGTTTCTTCGACTCTTTTACTCGTGATAATGACTTGAGTTAAGTTGAGCACGCGTGACCCTTTCCTCATTACCCCCTTGTGCATAATGCATTTTTGGTCATCGAGGGTGATGCAAAAGTTTAAGTGTGGGAGAGTGAATTGGGCATTCGGGCAGTAGTAGTTACATGTGATTATTAGAGTTAGCATGCGCAGGTGTTAGTGGTATATTCATAGGAAATTCATGTCAAAATTTTTGAAAATTTTTCTTTAAACTGTGTCTTTATAAACTGGCTAGCGTCTGACTATGCTTTTAGAATGTCCTTGAAGTATCTAGGCTTAAATTGCTTGCATGATAACTTAGTTTTTGAAAGGATGAAGGCATTAGTCACCCATAGAATAAATCAACAATTTTCCCATTTACCTGAAAAAATCCTTTAGGAGAAGCCACTTTGAGCCTGACCGTTTATTGTTACCCGATTAATTGAGCTCCATAGCCAAATGGCCTGTGTTTCCTTACCCGTGAATATTTCTGACTTAGTCTTGTTGTTTAGGGAATTAAAGGATGAATTTGCTAAGTTTAGGGAATTTTTGTAGGAGCAATTTTTGGCACTGTTCCTATGCCCCAAATGGGGTAAGAACAGTTATCTTTTAGGAATTCGATACTTTCGAGGATTGCATTGTAGGCATGGATTCACTTTGAATTAATGAACTTTAATTGCTATTTTTCCTTGGTGAGGTCGAGATTAGAATGGGGTAATGTCTAGTGAGAATCCGAAAGGTGAAAAATTAATATAGCTAGACCTCTTACTTTGCGAAAAAAGGGGATGGGAGCCCCGGTCAAAAAGCGTAAGATGAGACTTGGGTATCTTTCGAAAGAAACGGCGTTCTCGTGCCAACATGACAAGGAAAACTAAACTTAAATTAATGAACTTGGAGGCTATTATAAAAACTTAGCTTTAGTCCTCCGCGTACTTCAAGTATACGTCAAAGCACAAATATGCCGCGACGGTTTAGCTTAGTTGTACACCATGTCTACTCTTTGCATAGGTTTAAATGATTGTTCCTAATTTGTGGCCTACTAAGTTCCTTGTTCCTAAGAATAGCCCTGAAGTTCCTGAATACATTGAGTCTTTGTTAGAATATTCAAATCTCTTAAAAGAAAGGGACTATTATTTTTATCCATGATCCATTCACCATCACCTTCACAAGTCCCTCTGATCAGTAGCTAGTTTATTTGTGTATGCTGCCATTATTTTAAGGATGTTGTGAATACCTTGTCAAACAGTTTAGCTTGAGTACAAAGATGTAGTTTAGGGAAGAATTTTCTTGGTTTAGTCTGCCTATTCTGTGAATATCCCTTTAACTACGTGTGCATGCTAACTGTTTTAAATTCTGTGTGGTGATTATCGTAAGTCCCGTTGTTCGATTTGCTTGAGGATAAGCAAAAGCTTAAGTGTGGGGGAATCTGATAAGTCCGTATTTAAACACGCATTTGATGCGTGCTGGAGTTGGATTTTGACGGTTTTCCTAGCTTTAAGGTGTTGCAAGTCTCGATTTTAGCTCAAGTTGTGATTATCAGGCATTGGATCGAGTTTTGTTGCAATTGGAGTTGAATTGAAGAAGTTAGAGTCCGGAAATCGGCGCTTGAGAGGCATTCGGGAAGGATTTGAAGGCATTCGAAGAAGATTTGAGAGATATGGAGGTCACCGGGAGATTCACAATGAAATTCTGATGAAGAAAGAACATTTGGATCGACCTCGTAGGCATCCGGGAGCATTTGGAGCAAGAAACAAAGAAAAATGATGAAGAAAAGGCCAGGTACGATCGTGCCTGGGCCTAGGCACGACCGTGCCTGGAAAAGAGAAGCACGGTACCTTTCTGCCAGCCAGGCACGATCATGCCTGCAACCGCGACGCGCGCATGCTCCGCAGGCACAATCCCAGGCACGATCGTGCCTGGCGTCGTGCCTGGCCCCGTTTTGTCCTATTTCAGCTCAAATTCTCATGTTTTATATAAATAAGGCCTCCATACCCCTTTTTTGAGGGTTACGAACTTTGTGGAGAGGCCTAGGATGAATTTTACCTGCGTTTTTACGTTGTTTACTTCGAGAACCTGGGATTCTTTGTAAGTTCAATTCTTTTAATTAATGACAATTTACTCAATTCATCCCAATTATGTTGATTCGTCAATTATGAGGCGTGAGTAGTTTAATTAGGGATTTGGGGTTGATGAAGGGGTTAATCATGATTGAAGGCTAGATTCTTTTCGGTTTAATTGGATGAATGTCGTTTAATTTGTGTTTGAATAATTTAACTGATATCTTTTGTAACCTAGAATCGTGACTAGAATTACAATTGCATGTAGAATGAATTAAGAGAGATCTAATTTGTTCTAGGACACATTCACACACACTTAATCGTTCGTTAAGAGATTAGCAGCGATTAAGGGGCCGTAAGCTCGCTCGTCTTGGCAACAATTTAGGATCCTGTCGCATGAGAGATCAGCCTGGTCCCCTAAATTATTGTACTCTACGCCGCGAGAGCGGTAAGAACTTAGTAATGATTAGCTAGGCTCAATTAAATCAATTTCATGTAATTAGGTCTGTTCTGCCAGAAATCTGGTTAACCCCGGAATCAATTCCTGTTCCCTTCGTCGTTAATTAAGGAAAAACCCAATCGCTTTATTTGCTCATTAGCATTAGTTTTATTTTATTCAATCAACCAATCTCGCACAATTGCATTTTATTTTATTTATTTCTTTTTAATCGCTGATTTTAGTTAATCTTTAATTCCCTTTTGTCCGTCTCTGTGGAGACGATACTCGTACTTTCAACCACTTTTCTACAAGCATTTTAAGTGCGAGAAAACACTCATCATGCATCCAAATTGGCCAAGTCAATGTCAACACCACGGTCCATGCCAGTGAATTCAATCAAGCGCAAAATGTCGTTTGTGAAGAGCGTAACAGGGATGCAGCTGCTGACATCATGGAGCGTGGCATTGCAGATAAAGCTGCAACAGCTAAAGCCAGTTAGCATAGAAAGGAAACAACGAAGACGTAGTTAGGTTATAAGGTTCATACTGTTTAACAGTGGTTTCTTGCTTTTGGCCACAGAACAAGCATTCAAATTCTACACTGTCTTCTGCATACATTCTACGGTTACAATAATCACAACCCACATAGAAACTATCTCCAGAGGTATCAGTCAAGATAAATTTTCCATATACCCACACCACAGGAACCTGTCTTGGAAAGAGGCATGAAAGAGAAGCAAGCAAAGTATTACAACCAAACAGATCCACCTCAGGCAAGAGAACCACAATGTTAAATGGATGTAACTGACCTTATTAAGCCCAGCTTCCACACCTGAAAGTGAAATGCGTGGTTGTGAGACAGGATGGGCGATGTCAGCAAGCGCATCTCATACTGTTTGTCAACCAGAAGATTATCTATCTTTGCTATATTAGCAGCAACCCTATCGAATGAGTAAAGAGCTGGTCATCCGTACGGGGAGCTGAAAAACTGTGCAGGTATTGAGAGAAAATGAAGTTACCATGTATAAGTAGCAACACACGCTTGCCGGCTGAATCAAGTTCCATATGGCTATCGTATCGCGTCGACAATGAAAGGCCTGAGAGGCAGGAGTATACGTCAGTAAAACAGTTGGCAGTCAAAGAGATTTAAAATACACAGGTAATATCCAACCTTGAAAGAGGTTGACACCAACCATGTTAATGAGCACGAGGGGGCGATCCCCTTCATTCAACCGCCTTTCGATCTCAGCACCGTGGCGAGTCACAAATTCTTCCCACATAGTGAGTGGTACAAGTGTGCAGCTGGAGAATAAGTAAGAAAACAACACGTTCCTTATTGCGCACAGTCAAGAAAAGGGATGCAGATAAAAAAATCAACACATACTCTTCATCGACAAGGACCACGTCCCAGGCAAGTTTCTGACCATCGTCCGTGACTATGAAGGTACGGGGCAACTTCGAGACAATTGCAGCAAGAAAATCTGCAAATACCAGTCAACGACTACACGAAATTGCAGCAAGAAAATCTGCAAATATGCAAATATACCAATCACTGTAAGGGTAAGGGTTCCGTACTGATGTTTTCATTATTCAAGTAGCATGTGAAAAACTCCCAGAATGGTCTGGTTCCTGCCTCTGCAAGTTGGCGGAAATTCACCCCTTCCTCTGGTTGAACATCTTGGATCAAGGTCCTCCGTGTGAAAGACCAAACGAACTTGTAGGTTTCATCAACACAGTAGCGAAGATCCGTCGGCGGCTTGACATAAGCATTAGAGATGAGATACGTTGAGTACAATAACAGTCGCTGATCAATCCCCGCAATGTCGCCCTGGAAAGTGGTATGCATGTGTTTATTAAAACTCTGTGGACAAGGCAGGAACAGTATAAGGTTCAGAATCAAGTGAGGTGCAACTTACCGCTGAGTCCATGAGAACAATCGGCATAAACTTCACAGGGGAGTTTTTCCCTGTGCGGATGTTCTGTTTCTCAATGACGGTAACGTGGCAGGTCCATCTATGCGTCTCTGGTTTGACGTCTACAATTGTCAGTTCAGCCGCCATACTGTAAGTCATCTGCAAGTGTCAGGGAGAGTGGTTCATGTCAGTATATCAAGTAAATGAAGGGCAGCTAGGGAAAAAAAAGTATAAACGCACAAGTTGTTAACAAATGACCTCTAATTAATGAAATGCAATATCTCGTCATAGACAACATTGGAGGTACTATTACTGATTGACAGTTTCTGGTCATTCGGACAGATCACAATTTTAATGGATTGTGCGTTTCTAGCCCTTGACATAGCGACGTAGAGCTAACCTTGAGAAAAGACAGGTTCTTTCAAATAGATTCCAACAAAGTCAAGCGTCTGACCCTGGGATTTATTTATTGTCACGGCGAAGCAATTTTTTATGGGGAATTGTGTGCGCTTAAAGGGCATAACACATTTTTCATCTTTCGATACTTCCAAGGGAATCTTAGGGATGAACACATGTTTTCCCTTGTGATCGCCCGAGTCAATGAAACAACTTAAGACATTCTCTCCAAACGAATCACATATTAGCCGCGTTGCGTTGCACAAACCATCGGTTGGGTTCAGATTACGCAGTAACATCACAGGGCAATTATGTTTCAAAGTCAGTTTGTGTGGGGGCAAGCCAGTTGGGGACAATGTGTGAAGGTAATCTTCACAATGCATGTATTTTGGATCAACTACAATATCATAGCTAAGATATGTGTGTTCTTCTCCAGGGAATTTGCGCATCAAAGATGAGTTGATGAAGTCAACAATATCATTTTTTGTGGTGAGCACAGAACGACCCATCAAGGCGTAAGGGTCAGTTTGAAATAACTGTAAGTCAGGATACACCGCTGAAAAGAGCAATTCCAGCGAAGCGGCTTAATTGATTCAGGGCATCATGAAGTTGGAAGGGATCCTGATCCTGTCAGGTGTGATGTTTGGTTCAGTTCCATTACCCACACGCATTAAGTATGTACAGAAGGCAGGATCCTCATGCGCGCGCATATTCTTTGTCAAGCGCAAACAACGAACATGAGGCCAGATGGAGTTTGATTTCACCAGGCATGCATCCACAAAGTCTTTCTTTGTCCCAGAGCGGATAACTGGCAAGGTTTGTCTAAAGTCACCACCAAAGACCATAACCTTCCCACCGAATAGAGAATCAACACCGAGGATGTCTCTTAGCGTTGTATCAAGGCTCTCAACAATCATGCGGTTCGCCATGGATGCTTCATCCCATAAAATCAGGCGAGCTTCTCTAAGAAGTTTAGCCGCTGCTGACTGTTTACCAATATTGCATGTGTATTTTAACTCACCGTCGATTGGTAGCTTAAAGCGCGAATGCGCAGTACGTCCCCTAGGTAAAATGGATGCAACAATGCCAAAACTCGCAGTCGCAAGTGCAATCCACTTATTTACCCGGGTGGTGGCTAGCAGACACCTATATAAAAATCTTTTTCCTGTACTGTCAGGACCGTCAATGAAGAACACAGTGCCCTGGCAAGAATGTATGGCCTCCATTATGGTGTCAAATGCTAGCGTTGTTGAGTGTTTAAGAAAGAGATGCCATTTAAGTCCGATTCGCTAACCCGTATACTACGTTCAACAACCAATTCACAGCTACTTCCTTCATCCAAAGCCGCATTCAAGTCATTATCAACCAGTTTAAAGGAACTTATGTCCTTCCCCATCGCCGCAAACATGTCACGCAGTAGGAACAATATGGTTGTCTCCGCCTCAGAGCAGCTTTGAAACCTCACCAGGTCCTCACACAGATGAGTTTTGTAGTCATTCCACAGCGCACGAGGGTCTGGAACTGTTAAAAAACAAAGGTGTGTAGCAAACAGTTTGTGTAGGCTAGACGGAAGCTGATACAGAACAGCCTCATCCAGCGATGCACGTATAACAAAGTCACCTGACAGAAGCCCGCGATGTTCAGCTGCAGCCCTGAACATGGCAGCCATGTGCCCCTCTATAGTTTTTAGATCCGCGAAAGATTTGGGTGCACGTACATTCGCAAGAAGAAGGCGAAGGTAGTAGTGTTCCCCTTCAAAAGGATTAACAGAAACAAGTCTGCCTAGAACTTCCTTCCTTTGTTGCTGAGTCCATGCCTTTTTATGGGATGTCCACACAAAAGAATGAGGGAATTCAACATATGAAAGGTTTAATGTTCGGGCAGTTGGGTTGGTCGAATTCATAAAGAAAAAATGAGTTAGCATAGTTTTAGTAGAATCTGCAGAATCGGTGACGTAAGTAATCCGCTAGTGTCCATAAAAAGTAAGGTATTGTGAATTTTCCAAGTGCACTTGTAACTGTAAGACGACGGGTTTCATCTCAGCAATGTGAAACCCAAAAATACGCCACGCAGCTTCAGGCGGAGAGACCCAGCGAGCTTTTTGGAAATCCGATATCTCATCGATGACCTTGCCATCCCCTACCCCTGACAGTGCCATGCTCACCCTATCATGCCCTTTATATACATATTTATATATGTATTTAACAGATTTAACACTTGCACAACCTTCCACATCGTTCGGGGTTAAATATGTATTTAACCCCTGCCGATCTCCTATTTCCTTGATGTCACCCCCTCACATGGTTTCCCCACATCCGCCATAGCATCCATAAAGAACGCGAAACAGACTTGTTTATCCTTGGGCAATCTACTAACTGCCGAGAACTGTTGTGGAATTGGCCCCTCATTTACGAGATCTTCACCCACGTCCACACCCTCAATTTTGTCATTAGCCAACGAGAGCTTGGCATACATGTCCTCCATGGAGTCCATCATGATGAAAATCAGCAAATTTCGATGTCAAAAAGACATGTAAACACCAATAAGAAAGCCGCACAACAACAAACCCTAAAAGCTCTAGGGTAGAGTTTGCTTTGAGAGTTGGAGGTGGAGCTTGCGATGTGCTAGCAGTTTTGGTGTTAAGGTTAGTGGTCTTGACAGTCAATCGTCGGAGTTGACGGGATGACCGGTTAAAGCGATGATGACTTTACGGTGGAGAGTGAAAGGATGACCGGCGAGTTTAGCCCACAAACATGCCAATAATGACTCGTTGTCGGTTTGCCCCTATTTGAACTTGAAGATGGAGCTCACATGGATGAGTTCAATGGATAATGAAAAAAATTAAGAGCCTGTTCGGTAAAATAAGGAAATCGATTGAATAAGTCGATTCTACTGAAATTTATGAAATTCTAGTTGAAATGTTTGGATTAACCGATTCCACTTGTTGTTTTTTAAACAAAATTGGCTTATATTAAAATATCATAATACCCACATGTAACATAAAGACCAGATAAAATAGACAAGCTATTAAGACTAGAAATCAAGCTTGGTCATACACCCTTGAAGCATTCTTATAATCAATAACCTCAATAGAAGCAATGTGATTCGATAATCCCTATACGTACAATTGTAATCCAACCATGATCGACCTATAATCCTTTTCGCTTATCATGACCTGAAACTGACTCTCAATAAAAATAAAGACCATGACAGAGTCACCCTAGGCAAAAAACACCTAGCCAAAACAGCAAATAATCATCAAACAAAAAATAAACAAAAATAACTGAGAAAGTAAAATAACTCCTATGAAAAGTACTAGGACAGCCTAGTAACCTAGGCTCGCCTCCTCCATGCTTTAAGCGATCACGATAAAGGTCCCTCGTCTGAAGCGCATAAGTGAAGAGGGTGATCCCCGTGCATTTCGTGAGGTGCTCTACCTTCAAAGTTTCTCCCTTCAATGCATCAAGAACTTGGAGAGAGATTACTCGAACCTCTATCGGACGCCGGAGAGGTCGCTGAAATGCCTCTTTGGTGTTGTGCTTGAGGCGAATTGGGCTAAAAATTGCTTAGGCAGTTCATCGAAGCTATCAATGGTTCCAGGCCGCAGCTGGCCAAAACCATTCTTGTGCTGGACCCCACATGATGCTGAAGAATAATATGCAGATTGAATCATCAAATGCACCTGATAGCATGAGCCCACATGGGCCACATCGGTAGCTGGGCAGGTGGGACCTTAGGTCCCCAAGAGGTTAAGCCAGGAGACATTGACCTGCAGGTTCCTCTCAATGAGGTGGAATTCTGGGTACATGTACGTAATGTACCTTATTATTTTATGAACATTGGGGTGGCTAGAAGAATTGGTAATTTTATTGACAAATTTATCAGTTTTGATGAAAGTCAGTTTGAGCAAAAATGGGAATCCTATATGAGAATTAGGGTTTGTATGGAAGTGGGGAAGTTATTAAATTAAAAGTAGGCACGACGCTCATGAAAGGACATGGAGTAGGGCATTGGGTGGACTTTAAATATGAAAAACTCCCTAGTTTTTGTTTTGCATGTGATGTCATTGGTCATGCTGACAGATACTGCCCTCTGATTTATGAATGTGAAAACAATGTTTTGGCTAAACCCTATGTGGTAGGACTTCGAGCGGGAGGGGAAGGCAAGTCTCGCACAATGTGGGGCAATAAATGGTTGGTACCAGGAGGCTCTTCAAGAGGGCGCAGGGGTTTGGCTCAGAATCGAAGGACATTATTCAGGGTAGAGAGAATGACGGGGTTAAAAAATCTCTCTTATCTGTACAAAATTTACCTTATTAATCTCGGGCTTTTTCATTGAATATTATCAATTTAAAGCTAATTTCCAAAAACATGATCATTTTTACAAAAGGACAAAAATGTGACTCAGAATGTCACATATTTGGAAAAATATGAGGTCATTGTTATTCTTTTGTCACTATCATATTTTTATGTCACTACCAGATTTATATGTCACTTTTGAAATGTCACTATTAGTTTTCATGTCACTTTCAAATGTAAATGTATCGGAAAACGTGTCACTATGTCGTAACAAAATTTATCCGGTGACTTTTCTCTATCAGAATTTTCGCCGGAAACATCACTGTGCCGTCTCAAAACCGCCGCCATAGCCTGAGATCACCTACAGACTCTTACCCCAACCCGCTCCCCTGCTCTCCCAGCCCACTCTCCACCCCGCCCCCCAACTCACAGCCCCGTCCACAACCAAGTCCGTCAAAACTAGCCTGCCCCAACACCGCCTTTCCACCGCCCAGCCACCGCGGTTTCCGCCCCTATGCCTACCATAGTCACAACCCCCTTCCCCTGCTCCCCTGTCCCCCCCCCCACAGTTTGTCAACCCCATCCCCTACATATCTGCCCCAACGCCACTCAGCCCCGCCACCACCTGACCTCAGCGCCGCCAGCCCTCTCTGACTCTCCCTAGCCTCTTTGCGACTCGCAACCGCCCCTAATAACCACCGCCATGCCTCACCCCAGCCCCCTAGCCCTATGCGACTCGCCCAAGCCCTAACAGCCCCAGCAATCACCAGATCTGCAATGAAGGCGACGATTTACAACGACGAATTTGCAATACCGATGGCAAAATTGAAACATCGCACAAAACCTAGAAGCCTGCGGAGGCGAGGCACAGAAAGCCGGTGTAGACGAGAATTGGAGGCGACCGTCCCTGGTGGCCGACATAGGCGACACGGAGATCTGGACGGCGAGAGAACTTTTGCGAAAGTATGGAACCTCTACGGAAGTCTTGGTGGATAGGGGAAGATGGAAGCGTAAGTTAAGCGGAAGGTGCAGAGGGATAGTTAAGAGCCCGATCACTTTTGGGTAATTTTCTAAAATGATCATATTTTTGTCAAAGTTGAGAGGTAATATTGGTGCCATTCTTTTAATAATCTCTGTTCAAATGTGGTCAAATTTTAAGGAAAAAGAGGGTAATAATTCTTTTAATCCCTTCTAAACCTAACCCAAAAGAATCAAAACCGAAAATGGATATGCCACCCATGACCTCGTTTTCAAGATAACCCTAATTCTTGGAGAAGATCAAGTGCGCGCCGTTCCGATACGGACCCGAGCTACTTTTTCGTCCACCGTGCATCCATCCAGCCCGCCTGCGCGTATCTCCGGTCAAGGTTTGCCGCTCCGATAATTGATTGATATTTATTTACTTGTGGTCAGGAGGCAAGATGTTTACAGGCAAAGCTAATTCCACTCTAAGCAAGAAAACAGGCCTGCCTCGTAAACGGTTTTACCGAGCTAGGGCTCATAGCAATCCATTAAGCGATTCCCATTTCCCTGTTCCAATTTGCCCCGCACAAGTGGATTATGCCTCTCATTACCCAGTTTTTTCCTCGAAACAGATTGAGTTTGCAGATATAGGGTGTGGATTCGGCGGGCTGTTGATTGCTCTTTCACCTCTCTTCCCTGAAACCTTGATGATTGGAATGGAATTGAGGGATAAGGTGACTGAGTATGTGAAGGAACGCATTACTGCATTAAGGGTTAATAATCCTGGTAAATACGAGAACATATCTGTTGTTAGAACTAATTCCATGAAGTACATTCCCAATTACTTTGGAAAAGCGCAGCTTAAGAAGATGTTCTTCTTGTTCCCCGACCCACACTTCAAGGAGAAGAACCACAGGCGCCGGGTGATTAGTCCTCACCTTCTAGATGAGTATGCTTATGTTCTTGCTGTTGGGGGCATCATATACACTATCACTGACGTCGAGGAGCTTGGGGAGTGGATGAAGTCCTGTTTGGAAGATCACCCACTCTTTACTGCGCTTTCATGTGAAGAACTTGAAGATGATCAAGCAGTCAATATCTTGACTTCTGCAACTGAGGAAGGGCAAAAGGTTGCCCGCAACGGCGGTCAGACATTCCGAGCAGTTTATAGGCGCATTGATATGGCTTGACTCATTGTTTCCCAAATTTTGTGGGCATCAATCACTCTGGCATTCATCCTAGCTGTCTTAATTTGCTAAGTGTTTTTTGTTGTTGAAATGGCTGAATTTTCAGAGAGGAGAATCATGTGGTCACAACTATTTCAGCCAAACAAGTAGGTCAAAAGCTTCTTATTATGCTTCTAATTCCGATTATTCTACTTGATAAGTAGAACAAGTCCGATTTGGCTGCCAAATAGAGCTATATATGTGTGGAGATCGCATAATAAGATGCTTAAAGGAGAGTTGGTAATAGGAGGGAAGCGAAACTTTTATCTAATGTAATACTCCCTCATCTTCTCATCTTTCCCTTTTTATTTGTCTCACTAAGATTGTCTTATGCTCCCTCTGTCCCACTGTACTTTGACAACTTTCCCCTTTTGTTTGTCCCAAAAAACTTTGCAACTTTCCCTTTAAAGCAATGAATTTGTGGCTCTGTTCATTTCTCTCTACTCTGCACAAATCTCAACCACACAGTTTTTACTATTCTTATTTCTCACCTAACATCAACTTGGCAAAATTGAGTGGGACGGAGGTAATACCAAATTTCATAAATTTTGTGTGGTTCAAAATCATTCGTACTTTATTCTTATTTCATTAATTTAATATCAATCACATGAATTCACTTTTCTAAATAACTATACTATTTTCTCATGTTCCAATGTTAGTGAGACGAATGTAGTAGTTATGAATTTATGATTTAACACTATCTTTAAATATTGCAATATGAGAAATGCAATTGAATCCCGGAAAATTTATGGTTGATTTAACTAAAATATGTTTGAATCCCGGAAAATGTTATGGAAATTGGAAAGGAAAAAAGAAAATGCTACAAGTACAAACAAACTTACAAAAAAAACTTTTCACATAAGTGATGTGACTATTGTAATTTATAAATATCGTTGGTGTAAAAGTGATGTGATCTGTTACATACTATGATATTACAACATGCCCCTTTTGTTAGAGTTTTTGTGCAAGTGTATGTACTTAAAATGTTTTTACTTGAATTGTAATTTGTTGGTCTGATCTGGTCTGTTTAAGTCTGATCTGAACTGGTTTGGTGCGGACCCAAAAGTTTTCTAAAGCGGGGGCATTGCCAGGATGGCAAGTGGCGGCAATGTCTCGGGTGCATCACTGGTCCATGGACAGATCTAGGGAGAGCTAATGTAGGTCCTGGCTCACCCTAATTTTTAAAAATGTTTTAATTTTTAGGGTAAAAAATTTCGTGTAAAAGTTCTTTCAAAAATATTTTTTGCATCGACCCAGTTTGGCCCAGTACTCTGTCTCTGCTCCTGAACTGATTTATCCTGTCTGGTCTGTTTAGATTATTATTTTTAAATAGACATAGATCATTCAATTTCCTTTTCAAGGACATATATATATAGATTATATGTCTAGTTTTGAACTCATTAAGTCCATTGTATCAAAATACTACCGTGTTAAAAAATGAAGCATTACGCATAATTTAATTTTGTTATCATTCAATACAACTTTATCTAATAATATGATATCATATATCTAACTTTATCATATTGCAGTACAAAATATCAAAAGGTCTGTCGGCCTATCACGATTCACGAATTGACAAATTTTTTCATGTATATATTTTTTCCAAGAACAAAAGTTTCAATCTATTAAGTTAACCCCATATATTAGAAGTTTTGTCATATCTCAAACCACTTTTGACTTTAGACCAACATGATTCATACTTAAGTAAAAAAATCACCAATGCCACATTTCAAAGAATGTTTAGTTATCATATCAACATGTCTAACTACATGGAATCACTCCATCACAACTTGTTTGTCATTTACATTTTCACTACAATTTATATGCTCTTCGATGAAATTATCACAATATTTATTTCTTTTTTTTTTCCGTGAAGTGGGGGCACGATTTTTATCTTAAGTACTAATACTAAACTTCGGAGTTTGAAGCGGGGGCACTTATCCCCCCTCCAGGACCCCCCGTAGGTCCTCTTCTGCGGTAAACATCTGGTCTTTGTGTATTTTATAACTATGAAAGTCAAGTCTGGTCTGGTCTAGTAAACATCTGGTCTTTGTGTATTTTATAACTATGGAAGTCAAGTCTGGTCTGGTCTGATAAACATTTGGTCTTTGTGTATTTTATAACTATGGAAGTCTGGTCTGGTCTGTTTAAGTATGATCTGGTCCGGGACTTAAAAAAGTCCAAGTAAAAACTTCCTTATAGCATAACTCAAGGAAAGAGGGTCCGAAGAAAGTTATTGAATTGGTTGTTTAATTTTAGTGTTTTACTATGTAAAAATGCATATTCCTATTGTTTTTTATGGTAAAAGTCTTATACTAAGATAAATAAGAATATGCAAAACGAAATCTAGACAGTTACTAGTGCTGTTATTCGAGCCGAGCCGAGCCCGAGTATCACACATTCGAGCTCGACTCGCTCAAATTTCGAGCCTGGCTCGAGCTCGGCTCGTTAAATTTCGATTCTGTATTTGAGCTCGAACTCGGCTCGTTAAAGTAATTTACAACTCGAGCTCGACTCGTTAATATACCCGAGTCAAGCTACTCGAGCTCGAGCTCGACAACTCGAACTCGAAAAACCCATGTATTAACTATAATATCATCATACTCGAAAAACCCATGACAATATGCCCACCTCACGAGCCCTATCGAGCTTCACCGGGTTTTATCGAGTCGAGCCAGCTCGGCTCGTGAACTTTATCGAGTAAACAAAAGAGTTCGAACTCGACTCGTTTTCTCTAATATACGAGCCGAGCCCGAGTTTAATCGAGCCGAGTCGAGCCGAGCTCGAGCTGAGCTCGATTTCCATAACAGCACTAACAGTTACTAACTTAATTCGTTAGACACAAAACGGGAAAATATAAGGCTAAAATGACTAGATTAACAGTGTTGTTTATCAAATTCTCTCGTACCCAACCCAACTAACTACCACATGAAAAACCAAATGTCCCTACCAAAATCTAAAAAAACGTAAAGACTTGGATTTAAATAAAAAGTAAAACTCGGAATAATCACTTCACTTAAGAGTTAAGACTAACATCTAACAGACACGAGAATGTGAGACAATTGAACACCAAGACAAGCCTGATATACAAAGCTTGCCCTTCCCATTTTGTCCAAAGAATGATGATGCTTCTTTTCTCCCGGCAGTTAAGCTTTATTTATTGCTGATTCTACTAGCCAGCCCCGTTCCATCCTGAGACTAAAACTTGCCAAAATTGACTGAGGGAGTGTTTGCAACTGCTTCTGCTTTAAAAAAGCACTTTTAGAGATGCAAGGAAAAATGATTAATAGTAAAATTGATAGTGTTTGATAAAAAATGATTTTGAAAAGTAAAAGTTGGTAGTGTTTGGTAAAATAAGCGCTTTTTGTGTAATAGAAAAGGGAAAAACACTTTTCACACGCAAGCCGAGAAAAAGTAAAAATTGGTAGTGTTTGGTAAATAAGTGTTTTGTAAGCCTAAAACTGAGAAGTGATTTTTTTAAGTGGTTGCAAACTCTTGGACGATCTCACTCCCGCAAATGCAGTTGTCGCCATCTCATTGACTCGTAAGAGCCACCATAATTAAAGCAATCGTCAAAATCTTATGCGTAGATTTCAACATAGACGAAAATTCATGAATCGCAAGCATTCTAAAACCAAACAATTTGAAAATAGCGAAACTAGCCACATGCGAATGGTAGAAAATCAACCTGCCATACAAGGCGACAATTATACTCCCTGAGGACATGTTTACTTCATGGTATACTAAACGGTATTTAGTAAACCATGGGTTAGCAAGCTATTGCTTACTAAGAGATGCTTATTAAGGATGTGTTTACTTTATTAATTTGGCTTAAAATATGTGTTGCATACAAAATGTCAAGAATAACCTTAAATCCTACCTATGTCATCGATCATTCTATCTCGCCAGAAGCAACCCAACCGTTTCTCATCTCATTGACGAAGAAATCTCGCAAGTCCACCATCTCCGGTTTTCGGGTATGTACTTTCTTCTTCCATTTTTTACTCCCTCTATAAGATTAATGAAGGTAGAATATTCTTGTTTAATCAATTTAATTCTATATCTCTCAATTCAAACTTATATATATATATATATATATATATATATATATATATATATATATATATATATTGCTACTGTAGAAATTCTTATTCTTATGTCTTTGCACAAGGAAACACAGGAAGCAAAAACAGGGCCCTTATCGTTTTTTAATCTTTGAACTTTTTTTGTCAACTGGGGTGTCGATTGAAATATTGGAGAAGTTCGTTGTGTGAAAGAAATTTTGGAGGAGATGAAGTTCAGCAGAAACGTAGATTAAATGGAGGCTACGAAATAAGGACATGAGGGTCAAAATAAAACTACTTAATCGCGGGTTAAATAAAACATGGGGGAGGGAGGCGTTTAACAAACAACGATTAAATGGCCTTATTGGTTAGTAAGCGCGCATTTACCCGGTCAAGAACGTTTACTTCAGGCATCTTAATATGCTAACGGTGAATTAAACGATAAAGTAAACACCTCCCAGTTGTTACAACTTCAGTCGAGTTCAAGTCTTTTGTAGATATATGTTTACTTTAAGCAGGGGCGGATCCAGCATCGCCATTCAGGTGGGGCCATAATTTAATAAAATAATGTAGTTTGCAAAAAATGTCAAAGTGTAGCAAAATAGTACGTAGTACTACGTATGTTATTTGACATGATTTATTTTCAAATATAAAATAAAATTTGTTGCAACATAAATGTCAAATACAAAAATAAATATAACAGGAATAAGAATTTCTGTCGAATGTAAAAACACCTCAAACTCATACATTTTGAACTAATTTTCACGTACGAAATCCAATGAATTGAACAAATTAATTTTTCGGGCTCATATTCAAAAAGGCCGTTTACAATTTTAGTATTTAGCTCATTTAACATTTGAGATCAATTGGTGTTAGCCTTGTAGTAACTCATCTTAGAAGATTGATTTTAAAAAGATATTAAAAAGTAAAAAAAAAAAACTATAGCTCTAGACGAGCTTCGAACTCAAGACGTGCAGGTCATGCAAACACGGAACGTGCAAGCATGTGGACCCGTTTACTACCATCTTGCCAAACGATTATTTCGACACTTATTGCCTTTCTTTGTTTTTATATCATTTCTTAACGGAATTATATAATATATATATATATATATATATATATATATATATAGGGGGGGGGGGGAGATCCCATGCAAACTAGGCTTCCGGTGCAAACTACAAACTAATGGCAACCGTTAGATTAGAGGCAACGGACGGCTTCCAGGAATGGGTTGCATATTTAAGAGGGTGCACTGACACACATGGAATAAAAACGGTAAGTTCCATCTGGAAGCTTAAGTCAATTAAAAGGTTATGATCGTCATTTAACAAAACAAAAACTAAGCTGCCAATTGAATATGGAAATCCCTAATT